TTCAATGCTGACCTGTTATTACGTAATACTACCAATGGTGGTTCAGTTTTGAATGGAATTCTATAACCTACCTTGATCAATTGAACAATGCTTTCATTCGCTCCCATAGCTTCCCATTCACTCACCTGTGACCTCAAACGCCCAACCAGACTAATAATTTTTTTAAAAATTTCGTCAACTTTTGGATAAATTTTATTTTCAAATTCGCTAACTATTGCATTGAAATTTTCACTTATCTTATTCTCTTCTTTTCTTGGGCAGTCCCGGCTCCAATGGCCCTTCGCCCCACAGTCATAGCATCTGCCTGGCTTGCTTGTAGAATTCTTTTCATCCGTCTCCAAGCGAGAAAAAGTTTCTGCAGGTGGCCTCTTGAAGTAAGGTGCAAATCTGTAAGATCTTCTTTTCAAATATCTGTCCTCTTTTGCTTTCCGTTCTACTCTCATTGTGGCTCGATACATTTTCTTTTCATCGTCGGAGTCGGCCGCAATAGGATTTGTTTCGTATTCTTTTACTACTTTCCATCCTAACTGAGACGTGTCTGCTAACTTTATAAGCTTTTGTCTATTCTTTACTAACTCAATACCTTCTGTGATGCTAGATTTGTCTGACTCGATATTTTCTTTGTTTACCGTGGCTGAACTAAGATGCTGTGTGCTTCTTTTAGTTTTGATAGCACACGCGCCTCATGCTTGTATTGATTTTCATTGCCTTTCTTCCGGAAAACGTAATGGTCGCTGAGATTCTCTTCGATTCTGTTTATCTGCGAAGTTGAGATTTGTTGAATATTCTGCTGAAAATTCGAGAGCTTAGAGTCTATCATGGTCTGCAAACTGTTCAATAAATCTGCTTGCTGTCTAGAAACTGCTAAATTGACTTCTTCAGAAATAGTTTGAGCAAACTCCATTCTCCTAGCGTCCATCCCGCAAAAATTAGACTTGCTCGGGCAGAGCGTGCGCTAGAAACTGAACTCTAACACTACAAGAAAACTATTCAAACACGTCATTATCAAAATCTAATTTCATTGGCTGTTACCCAGTATACAAATGCTACTAATACATAAACGAGACTTCCGTTTCGGTACACACAATTTGTTTACATGTCGTTGGGACAACTATTTCTCGCTATACTATCGTAACGCGAGAAATTATAAGTATTCAGCATTTTGAAATGAAAAAGTTATGACGTCTGGCTTGTACAAACTCATGAAATCATTATTACAGTGTGATAAATATTATGTATATAAAAAGAATCTTCTATACGCATATTAAAGAATAAGCAATCAAATCTTTATATCCATATTAGTATTTTTTTATTTGCTTCAAAATGCATGTATACATTTAATAATTCTACAAATCCAGGGGGAGGGGAGTCCTCCCCCTCCCCCGAACTGCGAAAGCTCCTTTTTTCCCCTAAGCGGGGGACACAAATTCTCTGAATTAGCTTGTTCGTTACAGATTTCATCATACCCTGAAGCTTTATTATTTTTCAGTTTGTTAACTGCTTGCAAGATTTCTTCTGCAGAGATTTGACAATTTAAAGGGGTCGAGTTATTATCGAGGTTGACATCAAAATCATCTACAGCACCTTCATCATTTTCAGATTCATTAATTTTTTTCAAAAAATCGTACATTGCTTTGATATCAACTTCAGTTTTACATCTAGCCTTCGAACTATTTAAAATTCTCCAATATTTATTAATACTACTTTTCTGTAGATTTTCTAATTTTGACGTTATAGATAAAGTATGTTCTTTAAAACATTTATCCATTGTTTTCTTTACTTGTGATCTTAAGATTTTCGGAGTTCCCCAATGTTTTGTGTTTGTTGTCAAGACGTTTTTCTTCTTGCAGTCCGGCATGACGCATTGTACGACGTTATGTTGTTGACGTAATGATGTTGTTAAGTGTGCTCCGGGGTTACCAAACATGTTTATTTTAAAGTTAAGTAAATTGATTTCCATTACATCGAATGGAACGAAACTTCATATATCAACAAAATAAATATCTTTACATATGATAATGTGCTCATTTTGAATTTCTTGAAAGTAGTAAAACGAAGATTGACATGGTCCGCGAACTTTCCGAACAACCCATATATATATAATTATATATATATATATATATATATATATATATATATATATATATATATATATATATATATGTCAGAGAGGTTTTGGCGGTCCAGAAGCATCTGATTAAACATCATCCTAGCTTAATAACATGCAAAGGATTTTTTCATGATTGCTGTCAAATGTGTTTAAAGCAACAACTTTTTTAAAGCGTTGCACTTTACCGGGTATATTATGTTTTGTTTGTTGTATATAAAGACAACTTATTCAAATTTTTACATTTTTTAGATTCAAGATAACTTCAAGACAAAAGTGTCAGCATGACCTGCACAACTCCGAAGGAAAACTTTGTAAAATTTTCTTCACTATTATTAGATGAAGGGACATTTACGCTTGCTGAGAGGGTCAAGCAAGAGATTGCCAAAGATAACACTTGCTTATCGTTTGCTGTATTCATTGAAAGAAACAAGCATACACTTTTTCATCTTTTTGAAAAAAGAAATTGTTGCCAATGCATAACACCGGTATACAGGAATGATAAAGTGATGTCATACGAACAGTGGTCTTGTATGTTCAAAGAAACAAAAAAGAAATGCCAAAGGTCAACGTCAAAAATCCAATGTTGTTGTCAGTTTAGTGTAGATTCAAACTTGGATTTATCAACTCTAGATATATCATTGCTTTCTCTTATTTTGATAAACATTTGCTCTCTTGGTAAGATTGAAAAGGAAAAAGTTAAACATATACGAAAGCAAAGAAACAAATATTTTGCACATTCATCAATGACAGAAATGGATGAAAATACGTTCCTCAAAGAATTCAAGGACACAAAATGCACTTTGGAAACTATTGGAAAAATAATAGGAGATGAAATGCATAAAAAGATCAAAAAACAAATTGAAGACCTAGAGGCAGCCACAATAAGTAATAATCTTTGTAGGCATCTCATCGGTATGCTTCATCTTCAGAAAGAAACAAGTAGAGAAGATATAGAAAGAATAGAAGGAAAACTACTTCATATTCAAAATACATTGGAAGAGATTCGGGTAAGTTTTAAGCAAAACCAATGCTGCATTCTGAATTATAAAGAAACATGAAAGCAGATAAGCGAATATAAACATGATTTTGATTATAGGATAAGGAAAAAGGCCTCGAGCGTGAACAATATGAAGCTCAAGGAGCGAGACCGAAAACAAAATCTCATAACTGTAAAAAGGAACAACCAGGAGGTACAATTTTGAATACTAGTATACTTCGTATATGAGGAAAACATTCCTTGTATTTCATTAATGTGTAAAACGAGAACATATCGCATCTCTCATTAGACATTTTTTCAGCATATATCTCAAGTCTAAATTTACCATTTATTACACTTTGAGATGATGTCAAGAGAAATTTTTGGTCTTACTGGCGCTAAGGCTCACCTGCGCCACTTTGCTACTACTTTTCTTTATCACCAGGTTTTCACCCTATTATTCTCTAAGTCCATTATCGCCCAACCCTACCCTGGTAGTCATTATTCGCACAGACTTTACACTACCTGAGGATACTTCCACATCAATATGACTAATCATTCCTTTGCTGTTTTTATGAAAAGATTTTAAAGATTTTTTTTCCTAAATGCTTGTTTTAATCTTCGATTACCTATTGTGGCCCTAACCTACATCCGGGGTCATAATTTTTTATCTACACAATGTTATGAAGCTTTCTCATAAGTCTTCTTGTCCAGTTGTTCTTGAGAAAGAAATTTTTGAAGTTGTTTCCTATATAAACCTATGTAAAACAACTATTGTTGCCCCACCCTTACCTCGGAGGCCATGATTTGAACAAATTTGAACCTACATTAGTTAGGTTTTCACATACCTACTCTAATCTTGCCTTTTCTTGATTATTTCAAAAGAGTGTGGCCCTTCATTTAAAAAAAAATTCTTTTCACAGAAATGCTTTGGGGCAGGTTTTGCTAAAATATGGTTCTAGAAAAGAAGTCAAGAATGTGAAAACTGATATCTCAATAAAAATGGAACGCTTTAGATTAGTCATTTTACAAAACTCTATTAAAAATATGTAAGAAGTTGATTCCTTACTTCGCGGCTTTGAATCCCACTGCGGGTCATGGATACCGGTCCTTTAGATGAGACCGTAAAAACCGAGGTCCCGTATTGCAGGAGGTGCTGGCACGAAAAAAAAAAACCTTACTGCTCAAAGACTTTAAGTGCACTGTACAGGTCTTAAATTGCAGCCCTCCACCGACAAGTGGTGGCATCTCAATGTGAGTAAAAATTCTTGAAGGAGCGTTAAAAAACAACGAACAAATCAGTCGTGGAAATAAAGTATCATTTACTAGTTCTTAAAAGGGTCATTTTCAGAACTGATAAGAGTTCTTGATTGAAAATCCATGCACATGATTTGGATCAAAAGAAAATTCACGACCACAAACTGGCAATTGGAACTGTATATGTTCAAAGACAATATTCTTTCATTAATTGAAATGTACTAGACGTTATTCTTTCATTAAATAAAATGTACTATATGTCTTCATCTGTAAATTGTAACCAAGCATACTGGATAATGTTATTTGAAATATCATTTTTTTTTTCATTTATTCCCATTTTATATTTATGTAGAGACTTCTGATGAGGACGTTTGGAACAACATTCTGATACGCGTCTTAACAAGGGAGTTGCAACCGGGATCAAAAGGAATTCCTCTTCAGAAGCTGGAAACGTCTTTTCGAAGTGACTACGGCTCTTTGAATGGGGTACCAAAATCGTTTAAGGATGTTGCTGGCATAAGGCTCCTCCGATTTCTTCAAAATTTCAAGGAAACGTACACTGTTGTTCAGATTCAATCTAAATGGATTGTCACCTTAAAAACATCGCCACATTATGAAGAATTGTATCAGAAAGAGACTAGAAATGAATATGAAGTTATGTTTGATGGCACACAAAAAAATTTTAACGATCTTCCAGAGCAAACGTTCGCAAACATTACTTCATCTAGGGCTGATAAATCAAATCCAAAACCTTTACATCAAACAGAGAGCAGTGAGGATACTTCATTTCAAAAGACAGAAGACTTTAAAAAATCTTATGCTTCCATTACAGCATCTGGAGTCGCAAGTGATAAAACCGAAGACGAAAAGGAAAAGGACATGAGCAGAAAATCGCCATCGCGTTCATCATGTAGTGACATTGAAAATTTCATGGAATATGTAAACAATTTTCAACGAGGGCATTTTATTTTGTTTTGCTCAAAACTTTCAAATTTGAAATATGTTGAGGCTATTTCTTTGGTACGGTGGCTATGTGTGTTTGATTTTGATGAAAACAGCAGAAGTGATGGTATGTTATCAAGAATTGAGGATAAAATTAGAGAAAGAAGACCATTGCACGTTTGTACATGGAAAGATACTCCACAACTTTCGCACAAAGGAACTCAGTGGTGTCTTTTACGGGGCTCTGTTCAAGAGGCCGAAAGTAGAACACCCTCTGATTATAAATCATGGATGGCAAATATTCGCCAGGATTACGAAAAACATTTAAACGAAATTACAAAGTTTTCAGACTTCACAACTCTAAAAGCTGTTGTTTTCTGGCCAAACGATGAAAATATTCAGTTCATGTTTTGGGCTTTGTTGAAAATGGTAGAAATACTAGGCATAGATGTGATTCTGTGCGATCATTTACTCAATCAATCGACAGATGAACAATCTTTTCTTAAAATCATCCAACCTAATTTTGTTATCAAACAACCGTTACAGGATATATTCAGGCATATGTCAGTTGTGTTGAATGCCAACAAAAATTGCTCGCAAAAGCAGCATGTATATCAATTGCCTACTGCAGATGGAACAAACAATCCAGGCATTGATGATAAAATGGCAGCCGATTTGCGAGAAGATCTTCATGTCCTGTACTTAAATAATCCCTACCAAAGAGGTAGCGAAGAAGATTTCAGTTTGTTTGACTTGGAAGAAGAAGAGAAGAACTTTCTTCGTGGAGGAAATCTTCACTGGTTTGCTTTCTACGAAGCAGGTGTTGGACATTTTGCTGCAGAGAGGGATCTCACAAAATTGATAGTTGAGCGTATAAAAACAAAATATATTGATACATTCAAATCTGGAAAAATTACCGTTTTTCATGAGCCTGGATCAGGTGGAACTACCTTAGGTCAACAAATATTGTGGTCACTTCGAACAGAGACACCATGTTTGCAAGTTGAAATGAACATGACGTCAACAGTTCCCTCCCTTATCAACAGAATAGAGGTAATATCTAAGAAAACCAATCTTCCACTTGTGCTGCTCATTGACGGTGATGATAGACATAAAGTGAAAGGACTTTACAATCTTGTCAATCATCTCATGGTCATTTTTATACATATTCGAAGACTCATAGTAAAACCAAAAACGATCAGTGAAAATGAATTCTGGCTTCCTGGAAAAGTTTCCCGACAAGAAGTTAAGAAACTTGCAATTAAATTTACTTGTCATTGCGACAGTGATTTAAAGAAAGATAAAATCACTGACTTGGTTAAGGATGTTGAACGTGGCAAACTACGTTTAATGTATGAATTTGGGATGACAGTGTTTATGGAAGATTTCAGGGGAATCCATTCCTACGTAAAAGGATATCTTCAACTGGATGAAAACCCTCAACACGATCGAGAACTTCAACCATGGCAAAAAATCCTTGGTTACCTTTCATTAGTTTACTATTATGGGCAAACATCAATCCCATGTCAATTTTTTGTTACGCTTCTGTGCTGGCAGAATAATTACGATGTTGGCATAGAAGATTTTCCATTTCAAGTACGACAATTTATTGTATCTTGTAGGTTTGAAGGAAAACCAAACTGCATTAGAATTTGCCACTACGTTGTGGCAAAAGAAATCCTTGAACAACTTCTGACATGGAGAAAACGAAAACTTCAGAAAGATGAAAAAACCAGTAAATATGGTCTCAGTCATACGGCTAAGATGGGAATGTACGACTTTGTTATCCATTTGTTAGACGACATCAGAAATCGAAAAATAAAGACCTCTGTCAAATCTGGACGAATAACTGATATACTGACACGGACTCTAATTGTTCGATACAATCGTGATGTGGAAGACAATGAATTGGTGCGGGGAAGAATTTCGAGACTTCTTGAAGATATACCTTGCAAAGCACCTTTTACAGAGCGAATTAATATTTTAAAGAAAATAACTGAAATATTCCCAAGTGATCCTAATTTTCATGCCCATTTAGGAAGAATGTACTCCATTTGTCGCCCTGAAGATGAAAAAAAAGCAGAGGATTGTTTCGCTACAGCAGTCAACTTAGTGGCAAGGATGAAAGAAATATCAGATTTTGATGAAAGTAAAAAACTGACGATGAAATACGTATATCATATGTATGGTATTTTCTGCAATCAGAAAATAACAAAGCTAACAAAGAAACAACAATTGCAAGCAAAGGCAAAACTGGCACCAGAGGACTTTGATAGGATAATGGAAACTCTTCTTGCTCATGCAAAGGATGCTTGTCTTTATTTCTCGAAGACAAGAGCCATAACTCTATATGGCTTTGAGGATGGTTATGGCTATGTTGGAGAAATGACAACACGATTACTTATTTGTGAATTTGTACATCGACAGACTTTCTTTAAGGATTTGAATGAAGTATATACCCATAGAGTTGAAATGGTAGATTTCGTGAAAGAGAGTATTACAATAATTTTGGAACTGATTTATCAGTGTTATAGCTGTGTTAATCCTGATGATCTTCATGTGGAATTCTTGAGGAAAATTCATTGGTATAATGCTCTTTTCGAATCAATCATGATTACATATGACTTGGACAATCTTATGAAAACCGAGAATGTTCATACGCGTCGGGTGCATAATGCAGTGACAAAACTTCAGTTTGGGGTGGAGAGCACATTACACACCCTAGATTGTATAACTTCAGCCTCGAGTATAAATGAAATTGTTCGGAATTGTGAAAAGAATTTCAAAGACTTAACTTTTGAAGATATAGACCTTAAAAGAGCAGCCATTGATTTGGATTATAAGGACTGGCTCCATGCAATTCGACATAAGAAATTCGTCCAGATTTACAGTCTTGAGGATGTTTTACTTCAAGTTCGATTCTGGCATGAACTGCTTAAAAGTCCAAGTTCAAAGCTCTACCTGTTTATATTACTTAGTGTTCTCGGTTTTGGGGATATTGAGGAGAGCAATCCAAGAATAGAACTATTGACTGAGGCAAAGGAAATTTTGGAAGATTTGACCAAAATAGGCAGAACAATATCTCGACAACGATCGCCAAAGGAATGGCTTGGAAGAGGACCTGGGATTCGTTGTCTTATACCAGCTAGATTTGACTACAAAGCTTGTGAAACTGAGGATCAATATTATGACTCGGAATATAGTGACAGGGTTGTTCTCAAAGGTACAATCTGCCGACCAAATGAAAAACGACAAACTGGATTTATAGAGCTGGATCTTGGGGATAACATAACTCCAATTCGTATCCATTTTGTACCGATTAGAACAATTGGACCTCTTATTGGTAAAAGATATGCTGGAGAACGTGTTGAGTTTGTTTTGGCGTTTACTTACGCTTCTGGTTACAATGCTTTCAATGTAGCTCTTTTAAAAAAATATCCCTGTGTTTGCTCTCGAATGGTGGAGATTACCAGTGACAAAAGACAAGCCCAGTGTTTATGTGGAGAGTATGTTTCGCGAGAAGATGAATAGAATGAAAGGGATTTGCTATGAACATACTTAAATCGAGTGAATCATTTGAAACTTTGATTGTTATTATTATTATTTGGGAGGGGGGGGGGGGCTTAGAATGTCATTTTACAAAATCTGATCACATGGCAAAATTCTCATTCTTTTAATTGTCATTTATCTACATCACAGTCTCAATGTACATTTAACGCAATCTTCTGAAATGCTTTAATTAGCGATGCTCAGAGCATGCTTAAAAGACTTGGCAGATAGCCAAATAGCCAATTATTTTTCTATTTAGTGTCATAAGAAATAGATGGCACATCACCAAGCCTGTCCTCCACAGATATAAAATATTTTTATCTACATCTTTTCATAATTAAATGAAGTGTGATAGTCTTGTTATGAATATATTTTATTGTGTAATAGATAAAAAGCAATTGCATAAAGTTCTGACAACATCCTTTTTTCTCATTTAAAAACATATGCATTGTTAATGAAATATGGAGATAATGAACAGTATTCAAGTTCAAAGTCCATTTCAACAATACATATTGGGAGCAGAGCAAACACGGACCTCCAAAACATCAAAGATGGGATTAAGTGCCAAGGAGTGAGCATCCCCTGTCGACAGTTCCTGCCCACCGTGTGCTCCCTCTCATGATTGGTAAAAATGGAAAAAAAAATCCAAGAAAATTCAATGTGTGAATAATGGCCTAACAATTAGAATGAAAAACGTCAATCTGCATTTGTCTTAATGATGAAATGTATGGAGATAACGAACAGTATTCAAGCTATAAATTCACATGTACACAATGTATAAATTCCCAAGTAAAACTTTGAAATCGTATTGTTGCCCACTCTGCCTGCAGGACAGTCTATAGGGAACTTAAACTATCTCCCTAGTGAGCTAGTTTTTCTAGTGAAGAGTCTCCCTCGATTTCAGGCTAGTTAAGCTACGGCGAGTCTGTATAGCCCTTGGATGGGTGACTACTTCATGTAACAAGATGATGGCTAGAAGGACACCGGACAAAATGTGATCAGGAAAACTCACCTTAGCTCTCCGCTCAGGCGAGCTCATGAAAATTTACTCCCATAGTATTATTATACTGTGGGGTAAACTTATATTACAGAAATAAGTGAACCAGTTATAATATAATTTAAAAATGTACATTTTTTTTATGCTGAACATACACTTTTGTTAATAGATATATTAATAAATTTAAAAAATTAAAAATTAAAATCAAAAGCCTGAAAGGCTTCAATGACGTCGAAGAAGAAAAACAATTTCAAAAGATCATTTTGAAATTGAAGATAGCAATAAGTCAAGTGAGTGACTCAGGGGACATAATAAAAAAAATAGTTTAAACAAAATATCACAATTACAGTCTGGAGCCTTATGTCATGGTCCGAATGGAGCAGGGTTCGAATTGACCAGACACCGTCGAACATGTTCATGCTAAATTCTTTTCAGTCAGTTGAAGAACTATGAAGGATTTCATGAATTTATATAACATTTTTTCTAATTGCCAATGTCAAAGCATTGTATTAGTGATTGCATCTAAACTACAACCAACACTCTGTTCTGTTACAATTACGATCGAGTTACGATCGGGCGTGGTATACGGTATACTGGGAAATGGAGGAAATGGAGAAATACAGCAATACTGGTCAATATCATCGGTTTTTAGGATAGAGTTGGTTAGAAGATTGTATAAGTAAAGCTAAGATTTAGAAATTCAATCTTTTTTGTCTTGTAGTATTCGTGTTTATGTAATTTTGTAATTATTTTACCTCCTGTTGTGTTGTTTATGTTGCACGGTTATCGTTCCGAAATGTTATTCATGTCATTCAACGCACCCTTTCTGTAAAAATTCATCCGCAACAACCATCACGTTTTTCTTGTGTGAGAATAAAACATAATATTGTTGTTTGCAATAGAATTAATTGCAGATATAATTGATGCAATTTTATTTTCAAGCCATTATTCATTTTGAGCGTTTTCAAAGAAATTGGTTTATAGCTATTGCTATTTTCTATTGCGGATGCATCGACTAACACATTCGGTCGTGTACATATCCGGTTGCGATTTCAACTGGGCGCTTGCTAGATGACGTTCGAGCTCCAAGAGCTCGACGTCATAAAAAAAGAAAGAAAAACATTTTACAGGATATATTGAATTAAAAATGACTTGATAGATTGTTCTGTGTATATGCATTGAAATTTGGGTAATTTATTCATACAGGTAAATCTACCTGTATCCCTTAAAGGGCCCCTTAATTGGGTGTGATAATTAGATGTTAATTTTGGCGAGTAGCTGTTCGGGGAATAAGCCATCTGAAGGCGGTGCTCAGGCTTTAAGATAAAACGTTTTTATTTTTTGTGTATTGTTGTTTGTTATGAAAGTATAACATATTACACACATTCATTTCAAATCAAACATTATACTTTCATGCTTCACATTGTATTAATTTAAAAACACCATACACAACATTTTGTACAAGTCACAAGAAATTTAGAAAAACATGTAATTTTATATTAAATAATTCAAATAGATATCAAAATACAGAGGAAAAGTGCATTTTAAGCATGGAGTAGATGCTCTCTTTGAGTTTTTTTTTAATCATAATTCTAGATAACCTTTTTGATCTGGTTAATCTCAGGCAGCATTTGAACTTTGATATAATGACATACTGAAGATTTCCTGTTTTATTTCACAAAAAAAGTCTCTTTATGCATATGATCCTTAATTGTTCTGAACTCCTGTGGTTCAGCAGTAAGCTTCTTATCATTTCTAGTTGCTCCATGGGTTATAAGATGACTGTATTTGAATATGGAATTTTAGGGAAAGTAAAATTTTAAAAACCTGTAGAAAAAAAAAGAAGTAATGATGGCACTGCAAAGAAATATATCTCATTGCAACAAAATTTTATTGAAAGATCACCATTTCTTACAATGAATACATTACAAACATCAATCACTGAATCACTGTCCTTGACTATTGAACATCTTTACCTTCTTTTCACATCCAATATAACTGTAGTATGCATTAGAGTGAAAGAGCAGTGATAACCTTCAAATTGTGTCCTGAACATTACACTACCATTACATTACCCTTTTCTTTTACCCTGGAATATATTAGGTTTTTCTTTCTTGCCTTTGAAATAATAAACTGATAGTCATATAAATCAACCCCACAATTTGAAATCTACAAAAATTTATGCACTCATGTAAATTTGACCTTGATTTTTTTAAGCTTACATGAAAAGACACATTTTCATGTACATGATAGATCAAAAGATCAAATTGTTCTTCACAAATTCTGTCATCAGCATTCAATTTGATAAGAAGTTATCCTAGTAAGATGGGGACCCTTTATCATATGTCCCTTTTTTAAATGATTAAAGTTACTGTGTTCATTTACATATAATACAATGGGATTCATATTAATTTTAAAATTTTAGTAGAATTTGGATATTGGATGTTACAGTGGACCTTAAATTCAGATATTCGGATGCCAGATGCTACATCTTCAGGACAATTTTTTTAAAGATATTTTGTCTCTTTCATCTGGTACATGTATTCTGCATTTCAGATCATCTTTTTTCAAAACAAAATGCATTTTTACTTTATGGTTATGACATTAATTTTAGCTAGGTTATTACTGATATGTATGCACAAGACTTTCACTTCTCTGATGAGGGAGAAATTACATTATTGCATTGAATAGGGAAACTTATACATGTATATATCAATAATGTTTTTATTGACAAAAATATTTTTTTACAGTATACATATACTGCTATTTATAGACATGGCATTGGCTTTTTTGCACAGTATTTTAAACACAAATTGTTATTATAATTTTTCCATTGAATCTGTAATTTGAAAACATAAAAAACAAGAGGCCCAAGGACCTTGAATCACTTTTTTGATAAACTGTACAACCTATCACTTCTATTTGAAGCCTCTAATTATCCTGTATATTTCGATAGAGCCTTGAAATTCCAAAGGTTACATAGGTCATCATGACCTACATTTTAGATAAAACACTCCGAGAACCCAAGATGATTCTTAGCCAATTACAATGTAGTATCTGAGAGTAGGTCATGGTGACCTACTATCACTTGACATTCTCTGAGAACCCAAGATGCATCAACTGACTAGGTTTGATCATTCTAAGCCAAATTGTACCTGAAATATTTATATAAAGTCATAAAATTTCAAAGTAGGTCATGTTGACCTACTTTTCAGTTGACATACTTTGAGGACCCAAGATGCATTAACTGACAAAGTTTGATGATTCTAAGCCAATTAGTACCTGAAAAAATATTAATATCAGGTCACAGTGACCTACTTTTCAGTCGATGTACTCCAAGCATCCAAGAAGCATCAACCAACAAAAATTGATGACTCTAAGCAAATTAATACCCGAAAAATGTAAGTCAGAGTGACCTACATTCAAATCAACATACTTCAAGGACCAAAGATGCATCAACTGACAAAGTTTGATGATTCTAAGCCAATTAGAACCTGATATATGTAAATAAAGCCATAAAATTTCAAAAATAGGTCACAGTGACCTACTTTTCAGTCCACTAACTCTGCGGAACCAAGATGCATCAACTGACAAAGTTTGGTGATTCTAAGTCAATTAGTACCTAGAAATCTTTAAATAAAGAAATATTGAGGTGACAGTGACCTACTTTTCAGCCAACTTACTCCGAGGACCCAAGATGCATCAACCGACAAAGTTTAATGATTCTAAGCCAATTAGTACCCCAAAATATTTCATTATAGCCATATAAATTGAAAAGTAGGTCCCCATGACCTACTTTTCAGTAGGCATACTCTGAGATCCCAAGATGCATCAACTGACAAATTTTGATGACTTTAAGCTAAATAGTACATGAAAATACATGTATTTAAATACAGTCACAAAATTTCAAAAGAAGGTCACAGTGATCTACTTTTCAGTTGTTGTACTCTGAGGACCCAAGATGCATCATTTGACAAAGTTTGGT